GTACAGATTTGGGTCTCCTGAACTGTCCCTAATTCTAAGAGGTCCTGTTCTCACCTGCCTGAAAGTGAACCTCAGGCACCCATCTGTAGCATTTACTCCCTGAGGTTTGCAAGAAGTGGGGTTTTTAAGGGACTATGTTTTTGAATGTCATAGGAACAAACAAAAAAAACCCCAAAAAACCATAGGTTGGGGAGGCAATATGAGTCCTTCAGTTCTTTTAAAATGACACTACACACAATAAAACATGAAAGAGGGGAATATCAACATAAAGTAGTGATATATGTCAAAATTGAACAAAACTGAAACAATTCCAGCAAAGAAGGATTAGATGGCTCGAAATATTGATAATAGGAGATAAAGCTTTTTACCTTGAAGCCACTGGTTCATATCCAGGCCAGACTAGAAGGCTCAAGGGACTGAAATCATAGTGTAGGGAAAAATCCTACACTGGTTGTGGGGATGCGCTAGATGTGACCTAATAGAAATTAGAGATGAAAAAGGCCTATGAAGACAAGCCAGAGCCTTGCCCCTTCCCACCACCGAGGACCTGTACCCCTTCCGGGAAGGGCTTGTCACATTACTGAATGCTGTCACTGCAGCTGCAGATGAGGACGACTTTGGGGAGGGTGCCAGGGAGACCTGTTTCTGCCTGAAACAAATCAGCCAACAGGCACAAGATCACAAGGGCTGAAATGTGGGCATGGGGATGGAAGCCAGGAGACTTCATTCCCATAGAGCCCTAAACAGCCTTCTGCCAGTCAGAGATGGGACACAGGGACGAGGAAATGCCACACTGCTGACCCTCTGATCTGTCCACCCTTGCCTTGAAACCATTATGCATCATTCCCAAAGTCCTTCTTACCAGCCAAAGTGATTCCAAGAAGACTGGCTAAAACTTAGCAGCATGCCGCAGCCAAACACAAAGCCAAGGAAACAAGCTCGGATGGCTATCTGAAATGGACCCAAAAGAAGCTCAGTCACCCGCCCGTTCCAGAGCACAAGTCCAGGCTGCTGGCCTTCCTGGGATAGGCAGGCCACTGGCAGGCAGACAGAGCCAATGTGCTCAGAGCTTAAAAGGGTGAAGCAGGGCTGCCTGGGTTCAAATCCTGTACCCACCCGTCTCTGGCTGCATGGCCTTGCTATACTTCTTCACCTCCGGATTTCAGTTCCCCATCTACAACGCGGGGTAACAGCGGTACCTACCTTTCGGGACTGCAGTAAAGATTACTCGTGTAAAGCACTTAAGAGTAACAGCTACAGAAATCAGAGCTAACATTATTACCATATTACCATCTTGGCTTTATTATCCAGGGGTGTGGGGAAGCTGCTTAACTCTAGTTTGCTGACAGCCAGGATTCAGGTCCTGTGCGCCCAGCCCCCTCCACGGAAGTGCGGGGCCCCTGACCTCAGACTCGGCAGCAGGTAGGTCCCCACACCTTCAATTACATAAAAGAACTCGTAGGCTCGCTCCGTCCCCACCCCACGCGCCTCTGCCGCAGCTGGGAACAGCACGAACTGCAATTCAACGCCCACTCCCCGGGTGCAGGGCGCCCGCGCCCGGAGAGGCAGGGTCCCCTCCCGAGGCCTGAGCTCGCGGCCCCAGAACACGCCGCGGGAGGCCGCCCCGACCCGGGGGAGGAGGTCCCGCGCCCGGCCCGCGCCCGGCCTGCACCTGGTAGCGCGGCGGCCGGTACAGCAGCAGCAGCAGCGCGTTGAGCCCCGCCACGTAGAGCGCCAGCCCGGTGCGGCCCTGCAGGCCGGCGCGCGTGAGCAGCGGCAGCGCCAGCACCGAGGCGCCCAGCAGGAAGGTGGCGAGGCTGAGGCGCGCCTCGGAGCCCGGCGGAGCCCGCGCCGCGCAGCCCGCCATGGCGCAGGGCGGCGAACGAGCGGGTGGCGCCGGCTGTAGCCCGGGGAAACCCGCCGGCCGCGCCTGCGCACTGCGCCGCCGACGCCGGCCGGAGAAGGGCAGCTGCCAGGAGCGGCGAGCCGCCCGCGAGTTCTCGCGAGAGCAGCGGCCCGCGCGGCCAGTGGCCCCAATTTGGCGGGAGCGCCCCGCCCAGTCGGCCCCTCGGGGACCCCGCCAGACCCCGCCCGGCATGCCGGAGGCTGGCTGGGGCTGGAGCGGTCGCCTCCTGCGCCTGCCAAAACTTGACTCCAGACTCAGGAAGGTTCCTGTCCCGAGAAAAAATCTGAAACTTGAAACGACCCCTCCCTCGGCCGGCCCCGCGTGGTCCCCCCAAAACAGACACCCTGGGGCGCCGATCCGACCGTGCGCAGGGCCTTCGGCCACCCCTAAGCGCGGTCCCCGAGCGCCCGCTGCGTGTCCGGGCTGCAGACACAGCCCTGCGAAGCGGCCGGAAGCCCAGCGGGGCGCCACGCGCCGGGACCACCGCCCGCTCGAGTCCGGGCGGGGAAGGTTGGGTGGTGGCGAGAGTGCTCAGCCAAGAATCACGTGCTCTAAAACCCGAGCGCAGAACTTACAGTGCGGTCCTAACTCCAGCTGGGCGGAGAAAAGGCCCATTTGTGAGCCTGGGAAAATGATTTGAATATAAGCCCAAATGATTTGACAGCGATTATCTCTAGTGGTAGGACTCTGCGCAGTTTTTATTGTCTTTATTTGTTTCTGTGTGTCCCACACTGCCTACAGGGAATATATATTGCTTTCGTAACCAGAAATCATTCTTTGCTTTTTTTTTTTTTGAGACAGAGTCTCACTTTGTTGCCCAGGCTAGAGTGAGTGCCGTGGCGTCAGCCTAGCTCACAGCAACCTCAAACTCCTGGTCTCAAGTGATCCTCCTGCCTCAGCCTCCCGAGTAGCTGGGACTACAGGCATGCGCCACCATGCCCGGCTAATTTTTATATATATATATATATCAGTTGGCCAATTAATTTCTTTCTATTTATAGTAGAGGCGGGGTCTTGCTCTTGCTCAGGCTGGTTTTGAACTCCTGACCTCGAGCAATCCGCCCACCTCGGCCTCCCAGAGAGCTAGGATTACAGGCGTGAGCCACCGCGCCCGGCCATATTCTTTGCTTTTTTAAAGGGTAGACGCTCTTATCTGGGGAGCTCAGAGGGCTGTGCTGGAGGACAAGGCGAGTGTGCAAAACAGCGAAACAGCTAGTCAGGGTGGGAGTGAGGCAGGAGCCAAATAAGGACGGGGAACAGACCGGGACCCCAGGGGGCAGCCCTTGGGTGGGAGGCATTGGTGGGGGAGGGGTGGAGCTGGCTCTTGGGGCCCTCAGGGACAGACAGCCCGCCTGCCACTGGAAATGAGATCTAGGAAGGAGGGAGGGCGTGAGGTTTGAAAGGCATGGAGGCAGGAGGGAGCAGCCTGAGGAGGGATGGGGGACAGGCCCCCGGGGAGGCTGGTGCCCAGAGTGCTGAGCCCTGCATCCGAGCCCTCACCTCTCCACTCTCCCTGTCCCTCCAGAGCCCCTGTGTCTGAGAAGCTGGGTGGGGAGCCCGGGCTGGAATCCCAGGCCCCAACACTCTGCCACCTAGCCACCTTGGGCACATCAATTCCGTGAGCCTCAGTTTCTTGTAAAATGGGGATCCTGGTTTCTCTGGCACGAGTTGATATTTGTTCTGTAAATCCCAGCACCATGTTTACATGGTGCTCAGGAGGCTTTTGCTAAACTTGGTTGATGGGAATTGAAAAGAGATTTAACGTTTTAAAAATGAAAATTGCTCAGCTGCAGTGCCAGGTGGGAAGGAGGCCTGGGTGTTAATGTTCCTGGGGCTGAGCGCTGCAGCGCCTGCGACTGTTCCCCATGTCTCCTGTCTCCCCGACACTGGGGACCTCTCCCTCTGCACCTGGACGCCTCAGGGCCACCAGAGGGCGCGCATCGCACCTTCACTCCAAAGAGTGAGCTCGGTCCTGGGGCCGAAACCGCTCTCGGCCTGGTAAGCTCCTATGCTGGCGCTCTGCCTTTGCCCTCTGCACTGTGTTACCGCCCTGATTTATCCCCAGGGACTGTTGCCGTTCTGGGGGTGTAAAGTGACATGTAACCGGACTGGAGAACCTGAGCAACACTCCCTCCTGTGCCCACCACCTCCCCTTAGATCCTACATCTTCTTCAGCCCCCTCTTGGAGGAAGGAGAAAGAAAGGGGAGATAGTCCCCTGCCAGGTGGGGCCAGACTCTAGGGAAGGAGACATTTTAGAAGTCACTGGAGTTGCTAAATCTGTCGGGGCCCCGGGCTCACGGAGCAGTGATGGAGGAGAAAGGGAGGTAGGCAGATCTGTGCACACAGCATATACCCAGGGAAACAAAGTAGTGACACATGGGGAGATGCACAGAGAGAGACAGAAGCACACACACAGACCCCCCACAGAGACCTGCTTTTTTTTTTTTTTTTTCCCCATCAGAGGGGAGAGCAATGTGGTCAACAAGCCCACATGCACCCAGTTCTCCCTAATTGGGGGATGACGAACCTATAAAAAATATAACAAAAATAGGGAAAACCACTCAGCCCTGGGATGCTCAGCTTGCGTCATCTTGTAAATAAGCATTTGAATGTATTTTGTTCTAGGAGCTTGGCAGCAAACACAAAGGGAGCCAGCCCTTTCTCTTGCAAGAAGGCCCTTGGGCAGCCTTCCCTCTTTCTTCCCCCCTCCTGCCATCCACCCACTGGCCGAGGTGGCTGTCCTTCCTGGGCGCAGGTGGGGAATTCCTCTTGTTGTATTTTATTTTTTTAGTCTTGCTACTTTATGTTTAAAAACTTAAATAGATTTAGGGGGTACCAGTGTTTTTTTTTTTCACTACCTGATGGAGTTGTTTAGTGGAGATGTCTAGGTTTTGATATATCTGCCACCTTGGGTAGCATACTTTGTACCCAATAGGTACTTTTTCCTCCCATAGGCCTCTTCCTGCTTTAGGTAGCCCTGACAACCACTGTTGTTCAGCCCCAAATTCAGACTCGTGTAACTGACTTACAGCTAAAGTCAAACACTGTGACACTGGTGATTTGAGACAGAAAAAAGTTTATTTGATTTGGCCAAAGCAAGAAGATGGGAGAGCAAAATCAGCTCTGTCTTTTCATTGTTTTATTTTTAAATTTTAAAAAATTTTTCTTTTCAAAAAAAATTTTTTTTCCTTTTCATTGTTTTAGAGAGCCCTGAGAACCACCTTGAAATTTCCAAGTTAAACTGCAGGCTGAGATGAAACTAAGCTTCCTTTTCTTAAATGAGGTTGCCTTATTGGGCAGGAGAGACTGTAGGAAGGGGGCAATGGTCCGGAGCACATGGCAGCCGCAGGTGCATAGCTGGGGAGAGGCGTTCTTGCCTCTCACGGCCAGATAAACAAGCGCCTCAACCCACATACTAGCTTCCCAGGATGGACATTTGTTCTTGTCCTAAGAATTGTCTAAGCCTAAAATCGAGTAGCAAAGTCTAGGAACCCCACCTCTCCTAGCTCCTCGATGATGGGTCCCAGGTCAGGTTGTTCCTAGAGAGCCGGTCTCCTGCAGCTCCCAGTCCCTCACAGGCCTCTGCCCTGTCCACTGTCCACGTGGTGCCAGAAGGGGAGCAGGGGGGCCTCCCCCCCTCCCCGTCCAGTGCTGCTGCTGCTCTCCCCAGGAGGGAACCCTGGTCTTCAGAAAGTTTCCTTTGCCTTCCTCTGGCCATTGCAGGCTGGAGGAATGAAAGCTTCCTCTCTAGTCTGGAAATGGGTAAATGATGCGAGTAATTTACGGGCACATCAGCCCTGAGTGCATAAGTCATATGTGCACAAAGGGGCCGGGTAAATATTTAAAGATTAGAGCCAGCTGGGGAGAAATACAAAAGGCTGGGACAATGAGGGTCTCTCTGAATTCACTCTTCCTGAGCTGGGCCAGCCCGGTCAGCGTTGATGCACTCACTGGAGTCCCAGCCTTTGTCCCTTGAAGGGCCCTTGGCTGCCCAGCTATTCGAAGTCCCAATACAGCTGAAGAGAGTTAAACAATCGCGGCCTCTCCAACCCCATCTGGAGACAATTGGCTGAGTCGTTTCGGAGCTTTTGCTGTGTCCCCATAGTTAATTACATGGAGCAATCACTTCATTCCACTGTGAAATGCATCTGCAGAGGGGAGCAGCTATCTCCCTCCAGTCACCCGCTCCCACAGTAGCCTGCAAAGCCCTCACCAGTGAGCAATGGTTTAGATGCCCCAAAGGGCAGAAAGGAAGGGGCTCCCACCCAGGACCAGAGGCGGCATAGAGCCATCTCTTTGGATGAGCGGTGGGACATCTTATGGGGCTCTTCTCCTGGGGCCTGCAAGCCCCCCTTCTTTGTTTCCAGACCAGACACAATGTTCTTTCTTTTGCCAAAGTCATGAAAACCAAATAGTGGAGAGGGTGAAGGCACAGGCTACTTTTTGCCTTCAGTTCTGCAGCAAGAGAAAGGAGGGGCCCTGAGCAGCCTTGGAGGGCCTGAGAGCCCTCGGCAGTTACGGAAAAAAGTTTTTTCCTTGAATGAGCAGAGGGGGGCCTGGGTCTCCCCAGCACTCCTCCTGGACCTGTGCTCCTTTCCAGGCTGCCTTGGGGACCCCAGATGCTAAAGATGGAAAGGGAGTCAGTGGCCTACATCCCAGCTTGCGTAAGCCCCGTTTCTAAGTTGGTCCATGCCCTTCCCGGCAGTTTGAGAGCACTTTGTCCTGCTTGTCCCCAGAGAGGACAGGGTGAACCCGCTGCCGCACTCCCCTCTGCCTCTGAAAAGCCTCCCCAGTCGCTGTGAACTCCTTCAGAGCCCGCCCTCCCTGAGGTTGTGCTAGGATGCCCAGATTCAGGACGAGCAGACAGAGTGGGGGGCTGGCGTGGAGGATGGAACCAGAGCCTTCACCTGGGTTTCTGGGGAAGGTCCTGGTAGAGACTCATCTGCTTTCCTTTCCAATGACCTAGCCAGATGTGAAGCCTGATAGCTTTAGCTCAGGAGAGGAAGCCGGCTTCGGGAAGGAGCTCGAATTGGCGGTAAAGCTGGGATGGTGGGGAGGAAGCTGTCTCAGAGCTCAGGGAAGGGGAAGGATGGAAATCGCACCGAGATCCCTTCCGGCCTTGATCCTGCCCTACCCTCAGCGGTTTAAGGCCAGGAGCCGGCCAAAGTGGCTGTTTGTAGTGGAGCCACGCGGGCTGGGGGTCACAAAGTAACGGGGGTCATTCCATGTGGGGAGACCCCGCCCGAGGACGGCCGCAGGGGAGTGGGCACTACGGACGGGGCAGGGGTGGTGGGTGTGGGGCGCAGCGGAGGCGGAGGCCCATTAACTGGAACCGGGCGGAGCGTGACGGCTGAGAATTCCACCCCGGCCGCCCAGCCGGCCTCGCCTTCCGCAGCCAAAGCAGAACATTGCGAATTAGCGCATTTTGCGGTCAATTTTCCACTGCTTAAGAAACACTAAGCCACCCACGTGAGCGGCCCCACCCAGTACGACGGAGATCCCGGGGCACGGGCTTGGAGGGGTGGCAGCCCTGGGATCGGCGGGTGCCGAGGTGCAGCCGGGGCCGCCCGGGGCCCCTTTATGGTGGCCTAAACTCTGGAGAAGGGGCGGGCCGGGCGCCCAGCTGCGGGCCCGCAGGAGCTGTGCTTGAGGGCCATTGGTTTGCTAATGCGCCGGAGTTGAAAAGCCCGGGCTGCGGTTTATGGGGAGGGATTGTAATTAGAGGACAAATTGCCCCGCTGCTGGCTCAGCTAGAGAACGTGGGGGTTGGGGGGACCCGCTGGGGCTTGGCGCGCGCCCAGCCTTAGTGCAGATGTGCAGCAGCTGGAAGCCCGCGCGCGGCAGGGCGCCGGGAGTTTGGCCCCGAGGGGGCGGGCGCCGCTTTGAGGGGCCAGCACAATGCCCTTAACACTCTGCTGCCCCCTTTGTGCCCTGCCCCGCCGCCCGCCCAGTGGCGCCTTTGTACCGCGCCGCCACCGCCCCGAGCCCGGAGCTGGAGGCCTCCCCCGCCTGGCTGGCCCAGGCGCTTCAAAGCTGCCCGGCGCGTGCCAGCGCTCAGCGCCCGGCCTCGGACCTGCCGCCCGCCTCCGACCCAAATCGGCCCAGATTTGGCCCGTGGGCCCTGCGGCCGGGTCGAGAGAGCGCCCCAGAGCTGGCGTGGCGCTGCCTCGGCCTGAAAGGAGAAGGGGCGCGATTCTCCCAGTTGCTCGGCGCCTGGGAACGCTGCCGCCCTGGCGGCGTCCATCCATACCCCGGGCGGGGGCGGGCGGGCTGAAGGGGGAAGGTGCCCCCGCCCCGTGGAACTGGGGAGCCCACCTACAACTGAGCAATTTCCCCTCCCTCCAGGCTGAGGCCCTGCAGTGGCCAATATGTCCATTCCTCCGCCACAGACCTCCTCAACTGCAGAACTTCTGCAACCTCTCAGTCGGGCTCACAAGCATTGTTCACAACCCCATTTTACAGACCTCAAAACTAAGGCTGTGTGCTGGGCGCGGTGGCTCAGGCCTGTAATCCTAGCACTCTGGGAGGCCGGGGCGGGAGAGTGAGATCCCTTCTCTATTAGAAAATTAAATAGAAAAATTAGCCAGGTGTGGTCCCAGCTAGTCTGCAGGCTGAGGCAGGAGGGTCACTTGAGCCCAGGAGTTTGAGGTCGTAGTGAGCTATGATGATGCCACTTCACTCTACTCAGGAGGACAAAGTGAGACTCTGTCAAAAAATAAACAAATAAATAAATAAAACTAAGCCCAGTAAAGAGAGGTGTCTGAGTTTGAACCCAAGGACTTATCTGGAGGTCAGCCTTCCTGTCAGTCAGGAAGCTACCAGAGACCAGGGAGAATACTGCGCCACAGCGCTGCTGTAGGGCCTAGCCGCCCTGGGGTGGCCCCAGACATCTCCTCCACTGGGCTCCCTCAGTCCCCCACAGCCTGAGAAATGGATGGGGTGGGCCCTGGACCTCCTACAGCAGGCTGGAGCTCTCCCCAGAATAGCAGAGGTCTTCCCCACCCCACGGCTCAGTGGGACTGAGAGAAGGCCCAAGGGAGTCCCAGTCCTTCCCCATGGGGAAACAGTCCTCCACCTGAGTTGCCCAGCCTGGCAGCTCAGGGCTGGGGGTCAGGGAGAGGCGGCATGCCTCACCCCACCTCCTTGCAAGTTGGAAGAATCTGGGTGGGTTCCTAAACAGTGTCAGTGCACGTGGAGTCCAGGCTGACTTTGGCCAGGAGCACTCCCAGTCCCCGGGCCCCAGCAAGGATGAGGCCAGCTTTGGCCCCGGAGGCAGGCTGCATGCTTTAATGGGACACATGTCGCTGCGTGGCCCCCTCGGGCTCGACCTGCACCGGGCTTTGAGCGGCCACAGGCAGAAAATTGCTGCATTGTCCCAACATTAGGGCGACTAATGCAGCGTCGCCGGCCAGAGCGTGAAGAGCACAGAAAGGCTTGCTGGCGAGCACGCCTGGCCTCCGCATCTTCATCAGTCCCAAGGAGGCTCCAGCCCTGTCACAGTCATTCGAGCAGCCCAGAGCTGGCTGGGCCCATGGACCTCCCCCAGTGGGCAATTCCCAGAACGTTCAGAGACACGGGGCAGTAAGGACTTGGCAAGTGGGCTCAGAGGTGAGGACAAGACAGGCATGGAGGAGGAGGGCTTGCGAGTGGTTTCGAGCTAGGAAGTGGTGGGGGCCAGGGAGATAAAGAAAAGACAGAGACGATGGGGAGAGGGTGTCCCTAGGGAGGAAGGAGGGGTCCTGAAGGAAAGGACGCCTGGGCTACGGGAGGTGGGGAGTTTCGTGTTCATCCCCTTCTGTCTCCTCCTCCTCGGGGGTTTCTGGAGTCCGAAGGGCCTCATTGACATGTAAACGAGGGGCCCCAATAAAGGCGGCACTGACTTGCTGCTTGCGCATAAAGAGCAACATGGGCACGGAGCCCGCCACTACCCGGGGCAGCTTCCGCAAGGTCTGGGGTCCTGTGGCAAGGTCTGGGGTCCTGTGGGGCGCGGGTGGGCGCCCTTCCCCGGGCCGGCGGCCGGCGTCGGGGCAGGGCGGGTGGGCGGCGGTCGCATTCTCTAAAGGCTGCTCGTCCGCAGATCTCCAAGCCGCTGATGGAGAAGAAGCGACGCGCACGCATTAACGTGTCGCTGGAACAGCTGAAGTCGCTGCTGGAGAAACACTACTCGCATCAGGTGAGGGAAGGCGGCAAAAATGACGCGGCCCCCAACCTCACTCCCTGCACCTCGGGCTGCCAGCCTAAGGGCCTTTTCCACGGACCCGCAGATCCGGAAGCGCAAGTTAGAGAAGGCTGACATCCTGGAGCTGAGCGTCAAGTACATGAAAAGCCTTCAGAACTCCTTGCAAGGTAGAGGAGGACAGCTCAGAGGGGGCGGGGGAGGATTTGGGGTGTGTGGGTGGGATCAGAACCATGGCTAGGACAAGGCCAGATAAAAGGGAAGGGTGAAGAGGAAGGCTGGGGCAGCTGGGGCAGCTGGGTGAGGAGGGAGCCCCAGATCGCTGGGGGGCGGGAGAGGCGCAGCGAGGCCTGGCTGGCTGTGGGCGGAGGTCGGGACCTCGGGGGAGACGTTCTGGTCACTCCCCTTCCTCTCCCTTCTCTTCCCTTCCTCAACACACTTCCTCCCCCTTCTCTCTTTCCCTCCGCATTTCTCCTCTTCTCCTCTCTCCTATTTTCCCCTTCCCCACTCTGCCCCCCGTTTCTCCCGTCCGCTCCCCTCTCCGCAGGGCTCTGGCAGGTGCCCAGCGGAGCCGAGTACTCATCGGGCTTCCGCAGCTGTCTGCCCGGCATGAGCCAGCTCCTCCGGCGCGGAGAGGAGGGCGACGGCCCGCGCTGCTCCCTGGTGCCGCAGCGCGCGGGTGGCAGCACCACGGACAGCGCCAGCCCCGGCCAGAAGGCGCCCGCGCTATGCGGCCCCTGCGCCCCCACGGTCTGGGCTCCTGCCCCGGCCACCGGCGGCCCGCGGGCCCAACCTCCCCGGCTCCTCTTCCCTGGAGGTCTCCCCAACTCGCCCGCCAGCGTCCCAGCGCCGCCGCCAGCGTCGCGCCTTTGCGCCGAGAGCCCGGGGCCGGGACTTCGCGTATGGAGGCCGTGGTGAGGCCCAGGCACGGCCTCGGACTCAAGGGGGTCCCCATCTGGGCTGGGGACACAGTGACTATGTTGAGCTTGCCTATGGTGACTTTTGAGACCCCTCAATCGCCCGTTCTGGTCCCGGGGCGGGGTTGGCCCGGAGAGCGCTGCGCACGCGCGAACGCAGGGACATACGCGGAGGCACGCGCGTACCGGGTCTGCGCGTCCAGGCATAATCCATCCCCACTCCAGTCCCACCTACCCAGGCCGGATCCTCTCGCTCCTCCTCCCATCCTCTAGTGGGGCTGGGAGGGGGGTGTCCTGGGCTGCGCCCCTTTCCCAGGGGCCCTGGCGGGCAGTCCGCCCCCGCCCCCGCCCAGCGGCCGCACGCCTGTGGGAAGGTAGCAGTTGGCCGCGGGGCAGAGAGGACCCCTCGCAGCGAGGAGAATCGCTGCCCCGCCCCGGCCCATTCAGCCGGCCGCGGGCGCCCGGTTCCCACAGCCACAAAGCGCGCCGGGCCCCGCCCTGCCGGCGAGGGGCCCCCAGGCCGACCCCCACCCAGGACCCTCTCGGCTTCCACCGACTCCTTCGCCCTCCGCCAGCGGCGCAGCACCCCCGGCTGGCGCAGTCTCCAAGGCCCGCCCCTCAGAAGTCCCGCCCCCCCGGGAGCAAGCCCCGCCCCCAGGCGCCCAAGCCTGCCCGCCCGCCCGGACGCCCCGCCCCGCCCCGCGCCTGGGAGGGACCCGTTGTGGGTCGCGCTTCCTAGAGTGCTGAGAAAGCCAACCTGGGCGCCTCTGAGAGGGACCGGCCTCTGCTCGGCGGAGACGCGGGCGCACGCTCCGGGCCGGGCCCCACGGAGCATGCGCCCCCGGACCTCCAAGGCCGCAAAAGAGCCCAAACCCTCGCCGGCCCTCGGAGCGCTCTGCGCTCGTTTATTGGCCCGCAGATGAGGTCATTGCTGCGCTGGGCTTTGGCGTCGAGACGCCCAAATCAGATTTTCTTCCCGTGCCTCCGGGCCCGGGAGTCCGGGCCTACGGGGGACAGCCTGGGGGTGGGGTCAGGGATCCCAGCGCGTCCTCCCACCAGCTTGTAACTCCGAATAAAGACGGTGAGAGTCCGTGAGCTGGATGTCCAGAGGACACGACGGTTCTCATTTCTCCCACGATGCTTACCTACACGCATCTTTTCGAACCACGAATACCAATTTCTGCAGGAGCGCTCCTCGCCCTGCCCGTGCCCCGCGCGTTACGCACGTCCTGGCCCGCTCCCGGGGAGAAAGACCCTCAGTGCATCAGCAGCGCGTCCCGCCACCCACACAGCGGGCCCGCTGGAACGGAGCGGGGGTCCAGCTTTGGCCGTCCGGGGTGGCTTCGCCGGTCTCGGCTCTCGCTGTGCTGGCTGGGGGCGGGGGGAGGGCAGTGGCTGGGACGAATCCTTCTGCGCCCACCAGGCGGCGGCCTTGCACCGCCGACCCAGAGGCACAGCCTCAGACTGACTTTCAGTGGGCCCGCTGGAGGGACGGGGATGGGCGCACGGTGGGAGGAGAGTGGTGGGCACAACAGGTCCCCGACGTCTCAGACTGGGCTCCGATTGCCCTGCCCTGTTCGTTTTCCTGGTAAAGTTCACAGTGACTGGCAGCCCCAGACGCCATCCCTGGGGTAGGGGCTGCCACCTGCACTAATAGGGCCTTTCCTCTGGCTGGTGGGCTTTGGACCCCCCCCCCCCACCACCTCGCTGGTTGCCGCTGTAGGTCCTTCTCGCTGACTCCCTAGGTGGGACCCAAGCGTTTGCCTGGACAAACAGGGTAAGTCCAGCTCAGAGTAACGGTGCACAGGCAGGGGAACTCAGGTTCCAGAGGAAGAGACATTTGGGGGCAACTAGCTAGACCTGGGTTAGCCTACAGAAGGGTTTTCCATGCAATCAGCCTCAGAATGCCAGATGCAAATCATAAGGAATTTTTATTGGGTCCTGTACAGAAGAAATGCTCAGTTGTCAAAAAACTACAAAGGGATCCTGGCTTCTGGGGCTGGGTGGTGGTATGAAGACAGAGCTCCCTCCCCAGGAAGCCCAGGGTCAAGCTCCTTATAAATGCAGCTAACAGGCCTGGAGGCTGGGCAAGCGTAGGAGAGCCCTGGCCCCAGGTCTTGCCCTGGGGATCCTCCCCTTAATTTTTGTAGAAACTCCAGGATTGGAGCAAGTATTGCCGTTGGATATGAAACATACAGAGCAAAAACTCAAGGTGACAAATGGGTGAAAACCCAAGGTGACAAATGGACAAATGCCCCTAAAATGGAGACAGTGGCTAGTTGGTGACCTCTGCCCCCACATGACACATCGGTCCTTGAAGGCACAGCAGCATTGGCCAGAAGTGGCCCCTTGCATGTCCATGGCTGGACCGCAGTCCCCAGCCTTGCTCACCTGTGGCCAGCTCATCCCCTAGTTACCCCACAGACAGGGACTGGAGTGGCCTTTGAGGCAGAGACAGTTAGATAGCTTCCCCCTAGCACCCTCTGGACCCTGTCCAGAGAGTGAAGAGATGGGCTTGGCCACTCGAGGGGCAGAGGGAATAGGGCACAGGCCGGCTCTGTGCTGGCCTTGGGCACTGCTCCAGGCCTTCACATTGAGGGGCCACTGCACAGAGAAGCAGGGCCTAGAGGAGACAGCCTCTGCATTGGCCCCTGTCCTTCCAGCTCAAGGTCACAGCTGGCCCTGGGTCTCTCCTTAGCCTGGGAAGACCCAGGGCCTACGGTAAACCTCAGGCCTGCAGGGGGTCTGCCCAGGAAGGAGAGCAAAACACAGCCCTGTCCCTGGGAGAGAGAACCCTTGCCAGGTACTTGAATCTAGAGTCTGGAAACCTGGTAAGCCAGGATCCCTTCCTGGCAAGGTGGGGGAGGTGAGGTTGGGGATGGGCACCAGGACAAGAGTCCAGGCCCCTCTGCTTTAGTCCTCTCCACCAGGTACCTACAGCTTTCATGGAGGGGGTCAGAGAGGTGGCTGATGTGGTGGGGACAGGCAGTGATGGCAGAGTGATGAGAGTGGGGTTTAAAATGGTGGTCGCGGTGGCTGTGGTGCCAATGCAGGTGTTGTGCTTAGCTGGGGTGGAGTGTGAGTTCCCGAGGGAATAAGGGCTACAGAGAGAGGGAGGCCTCAGGCCTGGGGTGCCAACACCAGGCCACCTGCTTAAAACTGACCCCCACAAAGGACCCACAGGGGGTGCTAGACTACCTCTCACACCTGGTCCGCTCAGTGGCCAGAGTACATGGACCAGGAGACTTCTTCAAACCGCCCTGAGAGTTAACGTGGTCACCTGCTCATCAGAGATGGGGAAACTGAGGCAGAACTGGTCGCAAACAGGGAGACCTGCTCAGAGGGCTTGTTTGGGCTCTGAAGACCCCTGTGCTTGGAGACTCTCTGCACCCCCCTCCAGGTGCAGTTACGTGCAGGGTGTGGTGCAGTGGCTTCCTGCCCTTCCAAGGCTGGGCTATGTTTTGTCTGACTGTGGCCCCGTCCCAGCGTTCCCAGCCCGGTTTCCCGGGGCTGAGGAAAGCGCAGCCAGACGTGCACACGTCACTGACTACCCAAGCCCAGCCTCGCTGTGCCCCCGAGGATGCCATGCCTAGCAGTCATCCAGGCCAGCAGCCACCCTCGGGGCAATGCCAGCAGGGAGGAGCCGCAGGACAGACGCGCTGAGGCTGCCGTCCCCTCGCCCCTGGGAGGGGTAGCACATGTCTGCGCGCGGGGCAGGGGTGGCGTCTTTGGTGCTGTGTCCCGTGGGCGGCCCGGCCTGCCCGGTGTCCATGGAGAGGCGCCGGGGGTCTTAGGACGCCGAGCCCAGTGAGTCCGAGTGCAGCGTGACGTAGCCGGAGGACTCGGACGGCGAGCTCAGGAAGCTGCTGGTGCTGCCGTCGCCGCCCGCCACGCGCAGGCCCGGTGTCGCCCAGCACGCGTCAGGTGGGGCTCGCAGGCTTCGGGTGGCATGCGCTGGCCGGGCGAGGCCCCAGGCTCCGCTGGCGCTCTTCCGGGCCGTCGGGGCCTCGCCCGGCTCCTGGCCCTCCGGCGCGTCGGAGGCGGTGGCAGCGGGGAAGGGCCCAGGCGGGCGCGCAGCGGCAGGGCCTGCGGCTCGCGCTCGAAGGCGGTCAGGGCGAAGGCGTCGGGCAGCAGCGAGGCAGAGGCGGAGGCGGCACCGGGCCCAGGGCGGCGGTGCCGGCTGCCGGGACTGTCCGGGGGCGAGTCGTGGGCGCGGCGCGGGCCGCCGTCCAGGGCCGGGGGGCGCAGCGACAGCAGGCTCTCGGCTGAGCGGCGACGCGGGCGGAACGGGGGCGCGTCCTTGCCGAAGGCCAGCAGGCTGCCGCGGCGCGGGTCGGGCCCGGCGGGCAGCACCAGGTGTGCCAGGGCGGCCAGGTCCTCGCCGGAGCCCCAGCGCGGCAGGAAGGCTGGCAGCGGGACAGCTGCCCACACTTCTGCGTCGTCGTGGGAGAGGCGCCGCGTGGGTGGGACCTGCTGGGACGGGGCGGGCTTGAATCCGGAGCTGCCCTCCTGCAATACAGGGACCACCGCCGCCCCACACCTAAGCAGGGCCGCCTATGGTCAGGGACCAGGCCCTGGGCCAGGGCAGCCTGGTTTGGAGCTGTGAGATTTGGGGCAAGTGACAGTCCCTTGGAGCCTCAGTGTTGCTTGGGTTAGTTGGGGAGAAGGCTCCTTGAGGAGGGTGCTGAGCAAGGGGAAAACAACACAGACAACAGGGAACATGCGGGCAGCGGCCAGGGGTTCTCTGCCTGGGCCCATGGGCACAGGCTCTGTGACCTCGGGCCAGCCCCTGGAGCCACAGGGGGCATGAGATGACTCCAAGAGGAAAGGCCTTGGGGAGGTCAGAATATCCTTCCACCCACATATGCGGCCTCTCCCCCTGCCGGGCCTTACCTGCAGGTACTGCATCTTGTCCTCCTGCAAGGGCTGCAGTGGGTAGAGCTGGGGCAGGCCCTCCTCCAGGGCAGAGATCTCATACTTGGCCATCCTATCCAGGGCCACAAAATCACCTCCATAGCTGTAGTCGAGGGAACGCTCCAACGCCAGGTCCTGGGGGATGCCACCTTCCAGGCTGGTCTCTGCAGGGTGGGGCAGAGGCTTAGGGCCATGGACACTTGGGGGCACTTAGGAGGGAATCCCAGGGATTCTCCCCCCCCCACACACATACACAAAGCATAGGGCTGCTTAGCTGAAAAGGGAAGGGGCAGGGTCCTGGGTTCAAACTCTGACTCTGCCGCCCTTGAGCTGTGAGCCCGGGGAGGGAGGTCACACACTGGGCCAACTTCCATGTCCAGGATAAGGGGGTGGGACCTGAGGTTACCTTGGGAGCCTGGGAAGGCTGGCATGTGTAAGGGGCTGGCAGTGCCTGGCTCGTAGCAAGGGCTCAGCCTAGGGCAACATTGTTATTGCAGAGAAGAGACAGCACCTGGGTCTACAGGAGCCCCTGGGGCAGGTGACCTAAGGGTGGGGGGCGAGCCTGGGAGCTTGGTGGGACACATTTAGTCGTGTGTCCACAGGTCCTCTCTGTTAACCAGAGCATCAGATTCACTGGAACCCCAGGGCAGCCAAGCTGGATACGAGAAAGGCCTGTGGGAACCCGGCTTGGGTCCGTTAGGCATTCAGGTACACTTGGGGTGATACAGGGGGTGTCTGGTGGTTGAGACTGGAGTCACCTAACAGCTGTTTTCCTGCCAACCCAGAGCCCTCACCCAGACAGCACTCCTCCCGGGGCCGTCTCGGGCCCTTCTCACCATCGTCAGAGTCTTCGTTGTTGGCCATGAGGGCCACACACTTCTCCCAGACAGCCTTGAGGTCAGCCCGGTAGCGGTCACAGGCCCAGAGGAACACAGGCAGCAGCAGAGCCTGGGTCACGGAGCACCACAGCACGCAGAGCACCATCCAGGGCGCCGAGGCGTCTGCCCGCAGGCTGCTGAAGCTCACCACCTGTGGGCACAGCATTGGCCTGGCACCCGGCGGGGCCCCATCACACCACTCCCCTCCCAGCCTCAGTTCTCCCAGGTGCTCGGCGGGCCCGACACCCCACCTCCCGGAGGAGGAAAGAGCCAGAGTGCGGTGCTGGAAGGCCCTGCCCTCTGAAGGCCGCCTGGCTGCCAAGGTGAACAATCATACCCTCAGTGTGTGCACAGCACTTCACAGTGTACCAGGCAGCGCCGGGTCTCGCTCTGTTGCCCTGGCTGGAGTGCAGTTGTGGATCATAGCTCCTGCAACTCAAACTCCTGGGCTCAAGGGGTGCTCCTGCCTCCACCTCCTGAGTAGCTGGGACTATAGGCACATGTGCCACTATGCCTGGCTAAGTTTTCTGGGGTTTTTTTGGTAGAGATGGGGTCTCACTATGTTGTGTTGGTCTCAAGTGACAGTCCTGCCTCAGCTTCCTAAAGTGCTGGGATTATAGGCGAGAGCCACCACACCCAGTGCCCCCTTTTTTTTATTATCTTTTTTTATTTTTTTTTGAGACAGAGTCTCACTGTGTTGCCTGGGCTAGAGTAGCGTGGCATCAGCCTAGCTCACAGCAACCTCAAACTCCTGAGCTCAAGTGATCCTGCTGCCTCAGCCTCCCGAGTAGCTGGGACTACAGGCACGTGCCACCATGCCTGGCTAATTTTTTCTCTATATATGTTTTTAGTTGGCCAATTACTTTCTTTCTATTTTTAGTAGAGACAGGGTCTCGCTCAGGTTGGTTTTGAACTCCTGACCTTGAGCAATCCTCCCGCCTCGGCCTCCCAGAGTCCAGTGGTTCACCCCCCTTTTTTAATTTTAGACAGAGTCTCACTGTGTTGCCCATGCTAGAGTGAGTGCCGTGGCATCAGCCTAGCTCACAGCAACCTCACACTCTTGGGCTTAAGCAATTCTCCTGCCTCAGCCTCCCAAGTAGCTGGGACTACAGGAATGAGCCACCATGCCTGGCTAATTGTTTCTATATATATATATATTAGTTGGCCAATTAATTTCTTTCTATTTATAGTAGAGACGGGGTCTCGTTCTTGCTTAGGCTGGTTTCGAACTCCTGACCTCGAGCAATCCGCCGCCTCGGACACCCAGAGTGCTAGGATTACAGGCGTGAGCCACCGCGCCCGGCCCAGTGCCCCCTTTTTGAGATGAGGAAACCGAGGCTTCGAGAACCAGGTCTCAAGCCTATTCAGGGACCTTTCTGCCACTACCCCGACACCACCAGCCAGTGGCCTCCTTGGCCCTGCCCCTACTCCAGGGGTCTAGGGTTCAGACCCCAAAGGAGATTCAAAGGGGACAGGTCCCGCCAGGCAGCCTTTGGTCGCTGCCCAGGGACCCCCTAATTCCTTCTTTCCCAGGAGAGCCCTCTCTGCCCCACTCCCCTACCTAGGAACCCAAGTGACATCTAACAATGCCCACAGCAGAGTGGAAGTGTGCATGATGCAGACATCACGTTGTTCCTGCCATCTGTGAGCTGGGTGACCCTCAGAAAGCTACTAAACCGATCTGGGCTTGGTTTCCTCATCTGTGAAATGGGCTACAAACACCCCACACTGTGGAGGGCGAGGAAAGGACCCCAGACTGTTTGTAACAGGCCAGAGGCACGGAGTGGCCCTATGAGCAGCACCCCTTCCCCAACCCTAAGAGAAGCTGGGGTGGCCCCTGCCCCTCCCCTACTGCTGCCCACACAGGGCTCTGTGGTTCTGTGGTTTTACAAGACCCCTTCCCTCCATCGGACCAGCGACAGGGATGCCAGGCCCACTGTACACACAAGGGCCCTGTGGCCCGGGGGGCTGCTGGGAGTAGGGGAGCAGGTCAGCAGGGGCCACGTCCTGAGCACATCTCCTGACTCTGAAGCTGCCACCCTCCTCTCACCTTCCTGGAGCTCCTGTCCTGCAGTGACTCCAGGGACGCAGCCCTGCCCTGCTGCTCAGACGAAGCCTCTCTGGCTGGTCCTTGTCCCTAGCCCCTGCAGAGACAGGGCCCGGGGGGCCAGGCTACTGAGTCCAGACCTCGTTCCTGGGCCAGGCCTATCCCAGCCTCACTGAGAGGACCCCAGGCAGCCTCACTGGACCTTGGATCCTTGTCAGCAAGGTTGTTCTCAGACCAGCCCTCACCTTGACCCTACCCAGCCCTTAGGGTAACCTGCAACTCCCCAAAAGACGTTCAAGGCCCGCCTGCCCTGGCCTTGCCGTTTCTTGCTTCCGTGCCCCTACCTACCTGCACTGCCAAAGCTCCCTCTGCCCATCCTGGGACCTGGACCCGCAGGAAGGAAGCCCATGGGCACGTTACCCCACCTCTGTATCAAACGGGCCTCGGGAGAGGGTAGGAAATGCCTCTGCGGTGCAGCAGAAAGACCCTGGGCTCTGCAGTCTCCAGATGTGGGTTCAAGCCCACCACCGCTGCCCTGCCTTAGGCAGGTCATCATACCTCTCTGAACCTCGGTTTCCAGATCTGTAAAATGGGGAGGGTGGTCATGCTCATCTCAGAGGATTGGGTTTGAGGATTCAACCACCTGGGGCGTGCCCAGCCCCAGGGCTGTCCCAGAGCCCAGACTCTGCCACCTGACACTCTCACCCACCAGCACAGGGAAGCCCATGAGGCAGTCGTAGATGACGACTATGGTGGCCACGAGGCCCGTGATCTGCAGCGAGGTTTTGGCGGGCTCCGAGCCGTCGATGGAGGATCGTCGCTTGCCCTGCGCGTCCTCCACCACGATGGTGGGCACAGTGAAGGCGTGGCGGTCGGCCCGGCGCCCCACCTGCCGGGCTAGCGTCTGGAAGAGGGCGATGGCCGTGCAGACCACACCCATGGCCACGCTGCCACCCACCAGCAGCAGGAAGCAGACGCCAAAGCCCAGGCCGATCTCGGCCACGATGAAGCGGCAGCCGTGGGTGTAGAAGCGCTCGCTCGTGTCGTGCCAGCCGACGGCAGGCAGGGCCGACAGGATGAAGGACACCATCCAGATGCCCATGACTGTGTGCACCGCCTGCTTCTTGGCGTTGCTCAGCCTGGCACGGGGCAGGGCGAACAGAGGGACCCTGTGTCACTCGCAGGTCTCCCCAGGCCCCTGGAGACCTGCAGAGGATCCCAAACAGCCCTGCACCTCCCTCCCCAGCATGTCACTGTCACGACACAGCCACTGCTGTGCGGCCTTGTCCCTTGCATGGGAGATACTTGTGCACATCGTCACACATCCCTCTCCCAAGCATTTCCTGGACACCTGAGCACACCCAGGCACACCCACACGTGCGTGCCTCCAGCAGCCCCTCGGGAGCCTCCCCGCCCTTCCCAGCACAGCACAGGTGTGGCCACCCTGGTGTGGGTGTACTCAGCCACGCCAGGTATGTCTTTGTGCTCACGCCTGCTCTCTAAGAACACCAGACATCTGGGCGCTCACCGGTAGTTGACGGGCCAGCGGACCATCCACATGCGGTGGTAGGAGAGGGAGGTGACGGAGAAGCAGGTGGCCAGGGTGAGCGTGTAGAAGGTGGACACAAAGACCTTGCAGAGGCCCTCGTTCCACTCGTAGTCAGGGCGCTGCCGCCGCAGCTGCACCACAGCGTAGGTGGTGATGGGCACCGCCACGTTGAGCATGTGGGTGGCCGCGAGTGTGCACAGCAGGAACTCCAGTGGCTTCCACTTCTTCTGCTTGGCACCGACGCTGAGGATGCCCCAGGCGTTGGCCAGCAGGGAGAGGCCCCCGCACGCCAGCCAGCCCACCGCGCTGCCAGGCAGCCGCCGCTCATCACTCATGGTGTAGACCGGAGCTGGCAGGCGGCTGGGGCATCCTCCTTGGAGCCAGGCCTCGGCACGGAGGGGCGGGCCTCACTCTCGGTGGCTCGGGGACACCAGGGACCACAAGCATCTGTGGGGGCGGGGGCAACGAGTGCTCAGTGGCTGCCCCTCTGGCCACAGCATTGGAGCTCTTGGGGCCCCTGGAGTGGGAGATGGGGAGCACTAAGGTTTGAGTGTCCTCCCCCAAAACTCATGTCGAAATTTAATTGCCATTGTAACAGTATTAAGCGGTGGGACCTTTTCGTGGTGAGGGCTCCTCCCTCATGGGTGGATTTCATGCCTTTATAGAGGGGCTTTTGGGAGTGGGTTCTTGCCCTTGGCTTTTCCATTCTGCTGGCATTGAGGGACAGTGTTCCTCCCCTCCGGAGACATGGAGTTCAAGGCACTATCTTGGAACAGAGACCAGGCCTTGCCAACACCTTGATCTTGGACCTCTCAGCCTCCAGAATAGTGAGAAATTAATTTCTGTTCTTTATCTATTACCCAGTCTCAGGTATTCTGGAGGGCCCCACTAGACTGCTACACCTCCCTCTCTACCCCTTGAGGCCTTTTACCCAGGTCCCTGGCACCAAGGGGACTGTATACAGGAGTGTCCAATAAGTGCACATCCTCTCAGTTCTGCCTACTACTGGTCAAGGCTTGGAATCTGGGCTTCCTTCCAGGTCATCTGCATTCTCAGGGAAGCAGCCAGGTGGACCCAGATGGCACTCTGGCCCCACATGTCCGGCCCCATCCCAGAACAAGCCCTCTTGCCATCAAATGTTCCCAAAACCTCCACCAGCCCAAGCCAGGCCTCCCCAGTGGACATCTCCAGGACTTGCTTTGATCATGTCTGCTAAACCTCCCTTCCCCTCTCCTGACCCCCATCTGACCTATGAGCCGGGAGGGCTGGTCACCACTCTCATGCCCACCCTGAGGGGAGCCGTGTGCTTTGTCAGCCCCCAGGTGGCCTTCCATAGCCAGGAGCCCAGCTGGGATTAAAGCTCTAGGATGGTAGCTGTGTGGTTTCCGGTCCCTGCACCTGTCATCCTCTAATGGGGACTGTAGTGCTTCTCCCATAGGGAGGCTGGGGTGGACAGATGCCACAACTCCAGACCTAGGTCTCACACACAGTGGGTGTCTTGGGGTGGTGGTCAGCATCATGCTCTGGACAGCGTGGGCTCCATGGGCCTGGAGATGGCCCAGAGACCACACCTTGACCTTGAGGAGGAACTGCCAACTGACTGTGGATGTGAGCCAGAGACACAGGACGCTGGCTAGGAAGCAGGTGTTGGGAGGTGCCCCATCCTGCCTGAGGGCTGGGCAGTGAGTCCCTCCCTGCCCCCAGCCTGACTCCCTCTGCCCACACAAACTTGGCCCTTCTCCTCCTTCTCACCTGAGGGCCGTGCAATCTCATTTGCTGGTTCTCACGCCCTTACTGTAGCAGACACAGCCACAGAATCCCCCAGGAGGAATTATCTCAGCTTGGGCTGGAGCGGCCCCCACATCCTTAGCCGGGGCCCTGGCCCTCAGGCTGCCAAAGCAATGCTGTCCTGGCCGGCGCCCCTGCTGGTCTGTGGGCAGCCCGACTCTCCCTGGACATGCAGGGCCCCTGGGGGATGTGTCTCTTTCATCTTTGTGCCCCTGCCCTGAACCTCCCCAGACCCCTGACCCAGGCAAGGAGTCTAGTCTGGACGAGAGCAGGGCCCTTTAGTGGCCTCCTGGCTAGGGGACTGCTGTGGCCAGAGAAATTCCTTCTCAAACATTTATTAGGTTTCTGCTTGTAGAGTAGCCTCCTCTTCCCCATCCCAGACCCAGTGTGGCAGGTGAGGTGGCCCCCCTGAACTGTCCACCGGGCATTCACATGTCCAGCAAACCTCCCGGACAGCAGCGTGAAGGCCACATGGTATGGGAGAAAGAGCGTGGACTCGACTGAGGCTGCTGGACTCCAACCCCAGCTCCTCAGCTAGTTATGTGACTACTCTGTGCCTCAGTTCTCTCATCTGTAAACTGGACATGCTGACACCTACCTTGAAAGGTGTTGTGGGTAGTTAATGAACTACGCCAGGAAAAGTGCTTAGAATGGAGCTGGGCATGCAGTAAGTGCTCAATAAATGCTTGCCATCTAAATATCTACCTTAAAACCCTTGCAGCTCCCTGAGCTATGCCGTCTCTTAAGGGCCAAGATGCTGAGCTTGGAGGTGTGGGTTAGCCTCAGACCTGGGAGCAGATACATTTTCACCAGGGCCAGGACTCGGGACACCTCAGTGGCGAGGAGGCCACAGGGCAGCCTCCAGCCTCTGGGGTGCTTGGCAGCCTACTAGGGGGTCCAGAGCAGACTGTGGGGAAGTGCTGTGGGCAGAGCTGCCAACATCATGGTCTTTACAGTATCGACAGGAAACTGGACTCAGCAGGCACCTGGTGGGCCAGTATCTCTTTCTACCCGCCTTGGGCTCCCATGGCCACCAGACTGGGAGGCCCAGCAGGCTCTGTCTGACGCCTGTGACCATGGCCCAGCCCGGCTCACCTGTCCACACGATGGCTACCCGTGTGGAGTGGTGAAGAAGGTGCCACAAGCTGCCAGCAGCACAACCCTTCAAGGTGCCTGTTCTCCCCCTCGCCTAGCCTAACAGACCCTTGCTGCAGGGACAGGCTCTTGGGTCTGTGGGCAGGGAAATGTGCCCCACAGGTAGGGGAGGAATTATCCTCCTGGAAACAGGCACACTCCTCCCAATCAGTGTCCCCAGCTATTCTGTGTGATGGATACCTTTGTCATCTTCATTTTAAAGACAATCTAGCAGAGGTGGAGAGGTAGAACCATTTGCCCAGGCCATCATGTGCCCGAGCCAGGGTCCAAAGTACTTCCCTGACATCAAAGTCCCAGACTTTCAACCTAAAACATTCGGCAACATGGTGATTTTTGTCTCTAGAGCTGAGGTATTTCTGAGCCTCCTATTCCTGCAGGGCAAGTCCCACTGTTCCCACGTGGAAGGCAGGAACACTGTGGCTTGAAGCTCAGGGCAACACAGGAGTGTCAGAGCTGGGTTTGGGGCCCAGCACTCCTGAGCACTGTGGTACTGGGATGGGGGAGGAATGTCCCTGGGGCTGCTGGTGGGGGGTGGAAACCAAGTCTCCAAGTGAAGAGTGACAGGGTGTCCCCCCCTCGGTTGGTGACCTCAGACCCATGGATCACACACCCACTGTTCATTCTTCACAGGAGCAGACCCCAGGCTGGGCTCCTCCATTGCGGTCTGCACCCAGGGTGTCACTGTCCCCTGGTGGAAAGTTTCTCCCGCATCGAACTCAAAGCACCCCGCGTTTCAGGATAAAGCCTCCCGCCTCCCCGCCAGGAAGCCGACGCCAGCTGGCCCTACAGCAGGGCAGACTGCAGGTGCGACCGGCCTGGGACCCGCCCGAGCCACGAAGAGTCCCTCCACAGGGTCCGAGGGCGGGGCCCCGGCGTGACGTCAAGGCCCGGGGCCAATGAGGCCGCGCGGCCCCGGGGCTCAATTGCGCCACAAAGAGAACCCAGAACTTGAAAGGATTCCCCGGGCTCCGGCTGCGCCCGGCAGCTCCGGCCGGCCTGCGCCCGGCTTCCGCCCCCACGCTGGCTGTGCCCGCGCTGCCGCCCGTCGGTCCCGCAGGGCCTGGCCTGGCCGCCGCCCGGGGCGGGACGCGCAGCTCGTGGCCTCCACACCTGCGGCACGCCCCCCGCCTACCCCACCCCGGTGTCCAGACCCTCGGGGCCTCGATCCTCCCGCCCCTGCCCCCAACCTGCGCGCTCCCGCCGGCGGGTCCCCCTAGTCCTGCCCGACCCCGAGGGCGCGTCCGCGTGACAGCCTGGGGAGCCAGATGCTGGCGGGATTGCGGCCCCGGGGACGCTCCAGGTTGCGCTGGGCAGGGGTGGGGCCGGGACCCTCAGATCCGCCCCCTCCGCAACCCGGGGGGCGGCGTTGCCAGGCCTGGAGGCGGGGTGGGGGGGTAGGGCGGAGGGAGGAGCTGGCCCGGGGGGAAGTTACCCTGAAGGTCCCCAAGGGGGGGTGCCAGCCCTAAGCGGGCTCGCAGCCCCTCGGACAGACCCTGCGACCAACAGAGCGCGGACGCCCCCTCCCGCCGGGGTCCTCCCGCCCGGCCGCCCCCGGGCCAGGGCGGCGGCGCTCACCCTGCATTCGGGCGCCCGGGGCTCCTGCTCGCTGCTCCCGCCTCCGGCTCCGGCTGCGGCTCCCGCGCCCCCGGCCGAGCGCCGGCCGCCGAGCCGCGGGGGTGCTGGCGGCGGAGCGGCCCGCGGACCCGGGCATGCTGGCGGCGGCCACCGGCGGCCGGCGCACTCCGCTCGGCTCGGCTCGACCCCGCCGCCCCTCCCTCCCTCGGCGCGGCCCCGCCACCCTTCCCTCCTTCCCTCCCTCCTTCCCTCCCTTTTCCCTCCCTCGGCGCCTCTGCCGCCGCGCGCGCTCGGCTCCCGCCGCTCGCTGGCTGCTCGGCCGGCCGGGGGCGGGGGGCGGGCAGGGCGCATGTCTCCACCCGGCGCCGCCGCCCCGCCCCCCCGCTCGGAGGCTCGGCGCGTCCGTCCGTCCGTCCGCCCGCCTGGCCGCCTGCAGCCCCTCCGCCCCCCGCTCGCACTCCCGATGCCGCCTGGGCAAGACTCAGGCCCGGAGCGCGGGGGTCGCGGGCCGGAGGGAGCTGGGACGGGAAAGGACAGTGGGAACCCGGGGCTGGGGTGGGGGCTCCGGAAGGCCTTCCCGGAGGAAGCCACATCTAAGATGAGCGACCGGGGCGGGGCGTGGAGAGGACGCGGGACCTGAGGACCAGCGGTTTCTAGGAACCGGACTTGGGTCCCGAGCCGGGGCGGAGAGAGGCAAGGTTGAGCCAGCTAGGGATTCAAACTTCTGCGTGGGCCTTGGGGTCCGCGGAGGGAATAAGTGAGTGGACCGCGGCCTCCCAGTGGGGGCCCCTCCCCCCGGCTCAGCGGTTCTCTCTGAAGCCCTGACCACACCAGGCAGCTGGGAGAGGCCAGGGTCTGCAGCCCGCACCCCGCGGCTCTCGCTCCCTTCCCTTGGAGCCTCCCCTCCCGCTGCACTCCTAGTAGGGCACTTGCTGTCGCCCATAGACTGGGGACACCATCCATCCCCTTGATGGGGGCCTCTGGAGACCCCTCAAGGCATGAGAGAGTGCTGTGGCCATCTTGGCCTCCCTTCCAGGCAGAGGATCACGCCTGTCTCTTCTAGAAAGTCCCTGAGCACAAACACAATGGGCACAATGCCTTTGGGGCCACCCAGGGCTGCTCGGGCACAGCCCTTCTTTCCCGTGCATCAGGAACAGCCTGAGTCTGGGGACGCTGGGCACTGACCAGCACAAGACCCAGACAGCTGCTCGCCTGGGCTGGGCAGGGCTGCCCCAAGTGCTCCATAGCCTGACTCCTGCACCCGCCTAAACCATCCCCACACCCTGAACAGCTTTGAGGGGCCCCAGAGTGGCCTTAGGGTCAGTCCTATGAGACAAAAGTAAAAGTGTTTGTAGAACACTGTTTCTCTGTAGAGAAACTTTCCACAATGTGGGGGGCTGGGGATGGGGGATCCAGGGCCATGCCCACTCTCACAGTCTCTGTGGCTTCTAGGGTGGTCAGGGCTCAGTGCCCCAAGAGCCCTCCATGGACAGCTCCCCCCCGCAGGCAGCCCTGTTAGAGGCAGGCCACCAGCAGTGGGAGGCTGGCACAGGGTAGCTGTAATCTAGTGTGGCATTTCTACGGCAAAGTCACAGGCAATTTGGCCACAGAAAGCCATGCTGCTGCGCTGCTGGCAGAGGGCAGCCTGCCCCAGGCCTGTGGCCCTAATCTCCCTCCCCAGCGGCCCGGCTCAGCCACTGCTGCCGGTCCCAGTGCCTCTGTCAGTTGGTGCCTCTGCATTGGCCTCAGCTTGGTGGGCAGTTTTTAGGTACCAGGTTTGCCCAAATCCACAGGGACGAGGCTAAGCCAGGACTGAGCTAGGGAGTATGATGCCAGGGCCCACCTTCCTGTGAAGGATGTAGAGGTTTTGGGGACCTGCTCCCCTGGTGAGCCCCTGGGCTCTGGCACTGCTGGGGACACCCGGCCAGCTCTGGTTTCACAGACCTTGGTGACTGGCAGGGCTGGCCCAACTGCTCACTCCAAAGGGCAGCCTCCTCATCGTGCTGAGCCCATGGTGCCGCCTTGCCGTGGGTCATGGTGCAGCTGGGGGTGTCAGGGGGCTGAGGGGCAGGGTGGGGTGGCTGGGCTTATTCCCTCCCCCTGCTCCCAGGCCGGAAATAACCCTGTCAGCTGGGACCAGGCCCGAGACAGATTCCGAAGCTCTTGGCGGGTGTTTCTGCACATCTGGAGCCGAGTTCTCTCTCCAGGGGCCCGAGGGAGCCTTGCGCGAGGCTGCAGCTGTTGGCAGGCTGGTCTTCTCTAGGCGGCAGGACAGATGTTCAGGCTTTGGGGACGAGCCTGTTGGGAACATTCTCCCAGGTGCCACCTCTGGGTGTGCTTGGTGGAGGGACCTCTCTCAGCCAGGGATGTGGGTGGGGTCCTGGACCTGTCGTGGCCCTGGCTGCTGACCTGCCCCGAGGCTGCTGGCAGACTCACACGTGAACCGATACACACCGGCGCCCACACACCACACACACAGAGGTGCAGTGACAGGTATGTTGCCAGTGACACATGCATGCATAGCAATGCTGTTTATGCACACACAGATTCACACCAACAGCACTGACACACACTGTCCCTCAGACTCCCACCCACACGCGTCCCAATAACTCCAAGTCACTCTGGGGGAGTTTCCATGTCAGGCACGGGGTCCAGGGCTCCCACATGTCCTCGGGCCAGGCTGTGTTTGACCCACACATCACCTCCCTGAGGCCTCAGGAGCACCGAGAGGGTCCTGCCCCGTTTATGGGAGAGCCACACAGACTCAGAGCTGGCCCCTGCCCGGCAAGTCAGTGGGGAAGGGGTGCCCTGAGTCCACACCCTCCCAGGCGTAGGCTGCCTCTGAGGGCCAGGACGAGGAACCAGGGCCCGGCGGGACATGGGCGTTCTCTCCAGCAGGCAAGTCGCTTGCCAGACGTGAATCAGTGCAGCTGTGCCTGAGGTTCTGGGGTACACGCCGGAGGGGGTACCCAGGTGGGCTGGGACCCAGGCGGCAGCGAGCCCACTGGAATGGAGGGCTGAGGCTGCATGAGGGAGCCCCCACAGCCCACATCCCGTGCCCAGTAGGAAGGTGGCCCCCCAAGACAAATGACCACCCAGGACGCACGGGTCCAGCCAAACAGCAGCTTTATTAGTGGTGCTGGACTCTGCACAAACCCACAGTGTGCTCGGGAGCATTCCCGAGGGCTTCTGTGGAATGCCTCCCGGCGTTGGGGACAATACTGTGTAGCGTTTACACTGGAATGATATAAATAAAGCTTTGGTGTGTAGGCTTTCAGGAAAGAGTATAGGTTAACACTGCGATACGAATACTTCACACGACACCAGCTCTCAACATGAATCGGGGTTCTGGCCAAGGGTAACTTCTAAGTGACAGGACACCGGGTCTGCTGCTGCAGCTCCTCGAGGCCTGGCGGCAGGAGGAGGGGTCTAGGCCTGAGGCTCTGCTTGGCCCTGTCGCTTCGCCTTCATCTGCAGGTACCGCCCTTTACCTTCCTCAAAGCGCTTCTTCTCGTCCTCGGTCTCAGGCTGCAGGACACACGGAAACAGGCAGGTTAGACATGCAGGACCGTCCTGTGGGCCGTGCTGCCCTCAGAGCCAGCTGCCCCACCTGGGACCTGCACACCCAGGACGGCGCAGAGGACTTTGCCCAGCTCTGCTGGCCTCGCCCCATCTTCCTATAGGGCCCATCTGCTAGGTGGAGGGGACGCGGAGGGCATGGTGGGCTCAGGAGCAGTAAACAGGGTTGCTGAGCCCTGTGGACGCCCCACATCACCTTGCACAGCGCTGGAATTCCAAGCCCAGTGTCTCTCTGGTAATGAACTTCAGCTGAAACTGTACTCGATAATGAACTGTGGGAGGGAAGGTCTAAAGCTTGAGCCGAGTGAGTGGAGAGGAAGGAAGGGACCCCACCCTGGCTCCATGCCCAGGGAATGCCGGCCGCTTATGGGCTAAACGCAGGCTGGTCAGTGGTTCTACCCCCTGAATATGGATGGGGACCCAGCTGCTGAACAGCAATGAGAAGGGTGCCTCGGGTCCAAGGGGCTGCTTCCTGAGCAGGTGTGGTGGGGCTCCCTTCCCACAAAGCAGCCACGACTGCCCCTGGTTCAGAGCACTTGCCTTCTCAAGGTCACGGCCAGCACAGCGTCCCCCACTTCCCACAGCCAAAGACGGGACATTGCCCAGGATGGTCCCAGTTCATGACCTGTTGGGACTGTGAGCAGCACCCCTTTCACTCTCAGAGTGGCCTGGCTTGGTGGCTAAGTCTTGTGGCCCCTGGGCAGATGCTGTGCCAGGAATAGCAGGTGGTCACTTTCGAAGCCCCATCTGTCCCACTGCAAAGTTCTGTCTGGTCCCACCCTGGCCGGAAATTCAGGTTTAATGGGCTGTGTTAATTCCTTTGGGACATTTCGTCGAGACATTTTGAGGGTATATGAAAGCCAAAAAATGGGGCAGTTGCCCTTCATCTACAATGACACCAAACTCCAGCAGCTATTTTTAGGCCTAAGTGTTTTATAGACAAATGGTCTATTGGCAAAAGAGAGAACCACCAGCCAGAGGATGTAATGTCAAGTTACACCAAATATTTCCTCCCCCTTAGCTTTCTCCAAAATTGTTCTCTAAATGTCACCAGGTGTAAACTGTCAAAACCTTGCCGGCCTGGAGCCAACGGAACATTCGGGATTTTAAAGAAACAGGATGCTGCTCCTTCCATTGGTTCTGGTTCCCGTTTGAAGAGTCCTCAGTGCACACAGGAAAAGTGGTGGCTTTTCCAAGACACTTTATTGAAGAATCCCTCCTGCTGTTCTGGTTTAATCTCTGGCTGCCGTTTTTAAAAATAAAATTTGAGGCTATCCAATTTGACCTGAAATAGCCCAGGGAAAAATAAAATGTCCTTTCTGTTTTAGCAGCAGATCTAAGGGGGCAAGATCCCTGGGCTTCCTGGGGGCTGCAGGGCTCAGAGCTCAGCCCTGCTGCTGATGGGGGCTCCAGGAAGCCATGGCCGCATCCTGCTGGGCTCCAAGGAAGGTTCTGTGCACACCCAGCAGAAGGGGCTGGATCTGCTTCTCAAACTTTCCTGCGCACACGAATCATCTTGGGAGCTTGTAAATGCAGGTTCTGATCCGGTGGGTCTGGGAGCTGGGGCTAAGATGCATTTCTAACAAGCTCTAGAGTGACACGATGCTGCTGGCCCATGGACCACACTCTGTGGCAGGGCCCTGCCCCAACAGGGGACATCAGAGGTGGCCAAGAATGAAAGTTCAAGGCCGACAGGCCCGGACAGCAGGAGTTTTTCCTTTTCCCTCACCTTCCCCTTGGAACCTGCTTGGTGTGGGGGAGGAAAACCAGTGGCTCCTGTCCCCCCGCCTGGCCAACAGAGGAGCAGCAGCCCACAGCCTGCTTCCTGCCCACCTCCGGGAGGACCCTGATTTGGTAGAGCAAACGCTGGAGTGAGTATGGGGTCCCAGAGCTGGGAAGCAGGGAGTCGGGGCCTGGTGGGGCTGGCTGCTGCGCTGCGCTGGTTTTAGAGTGACTGTGGCCTTAGGAGACAGTTGGGGCTGAGAGCAGCAGAGCCAGAGAAGGGGGCACCAAGCCTCCTCCCGGTCTGAAAGCCTGGCCCTCTCTGCGGCGGATGTCCCTCTGGCTGGTGGAGTATCTGCCCTCAGGGAGAAAAAGGAGCAGCTTGGAAAGAAAAGGAACCCTCGACAGGAAAAGAGTGTGAAGCTGGCTCAGGAAAGGCAGCCAGACAGGGAGGGGACGCTGAGAGGGAGCCTCTGCCCAGTGCATTGGAGCTGGCCCTGCCTGATATGAGGAGACTTTCTGGAAACATGCGGATGTGGGCCACTGGCAAGGAACTTGGCCTCCAAGTACCTGGGTCACCAGCCAAGTGCTCTCAGGGATAGAGGGCGGGGGGGGGGGGCAAGGGAGAGGTGGCAAATGGCTCTGTGGAGCTGACACCCTCATGGGTGCCCTGGATGGTGGCTGGGTCCAGGAGACACTTGTCTGTGTCTGAGGATCCCTAGGGCTTTCCACCCACACTGGGTACCACCCGCTGGCATTACCATGGCAACCACAAGCCTATAGCAGGCGTGGGGGTCTTGGTGGTCTCCGGGCCTCCCCTGGCCTCTATTTCCCCAGCTCCAGTGGGAAATGAATCCTTTCTGGGGGTCTGTGGCCAGGTAGGTTTGGGAACCCGCACACTCTAAATGGCCTCTTACGATAAACAATGCACGCTGGAATCAGGGTTCTAAAAATCTCGAAGTAAGATAAATCTGTTTAACTTTGTTTAATTGGGGCATTCGCAAACGGAGTTGGGCAGGGACCTCCTTTCCTAAGGAACCCTGCTACCACCTTGGGGTTGGCTGAACGGTAACTGGTACCCATGTCCTTTTGCAGAAAGCACACCACATGTGCCCCCAAAGCGGGCCTTGACAGCCTTGGATGGAACCTGTGTCCACACTCTGTGTGGCCTCCGGAATGGGCAGCTTCAGGCCCAGGCCAGGGCGCAGGCTCCACCTCAGGACCCTGCCCCACTGTGTGCCCTTCCTGGAGGGGCCCCTTTTTCTGCCCAGAAGCCGGCCTGGCCCCCTCTCCTGGCACACCCTTCCCAGTCCTGTGGCCTCACACGATTCACCTACGTTCCTCCTCTGTGACACGGGCCAGTGCCCACCTGACAGGGCTGCATGAGGACCAGATCCTCCTAGCGGGCGCCGTCTGACACCGGTCACTAAAAACACACTGACGGCAAAGGCAGCCTGTCACAAAGGATCCCCCACTGACTGAGCCCTCCTGCACGGAATGTCCAGAATGGGCAAGTCCGCAGACAGAAAGTGGATCTGTGGTTGCCAGGGTTGGTGGGGACGGAGGGGTGCAGCCCAGTGATGACTAAGGGGTGCAGTGTTTCTTTCCAGGATGATAAGATGTCCTAAGATCGATGTGGTGCTGGATGGCCACCTCTGTGAAAATACTAAAAACCGCTGACTTGTATTCTTGAAATGAGTGAACTGCGTGGTATGTAATTACATCTTAATAAAGCCGTTAGAAAACAAAACTGTCACAGAGGTGTGAGCCCTGTTATGTGGTTTACAGGAAGTAAAGGGAGAGGTTTGGCGTGGCCGGTGCCCCTGCCCAAATCCTGGAGCACACAGGGGCAGCTGGGCGGAGGAAACGCTCGCTGGATTGAAACCAGACACTTTCTCTGCTCAGCCTCGGTTCGCTCAGCCCACACGTGCGTCAGGAGCGCCCATGTGCAGCTGGCACTGGGGACCCCGTCCTGGGGGAGCTGATGTTCTGGCTGACAACACACAGAATGTACCCAGGGTTGTCCCCACCTGGTCAGACTCACCACCCAGCAGGGCCAGGCCTTGTCACCAGGATGGCTGCCCCAGGGGACTGGCAGAGGAGGCAGAGCTCATCAGAGACCTGCCAGGCTCTGCCACAGAGTAATGGTGGACTCTCGGGCAAGTTCCTTATCACCCTGCACTTCAGTTCCTCATCTGTAAAATGGGTAGAAGAGTCCGTCCTCCCATGGTTGTGGAGGTGAGAGCCACCATCAGTGGCAAATGACCTTCTGTGGGGGTAGAGGGGTCAACGGCATGACCTCCTAGTCTCTTCTGATACGGTCTGAATGCTCACGCCACCTGAATACACATGCTGAGGTGGCAACCGCCAGAGTGCGGGTATCCGGAGGTGAGCAGGTCACAGGGAGCCCTCCTGAATGCGATCGCTGCCCTTACGAAAGAGGCCGAGACAGACCCTCACCCCTTCCACAGGTGAGGACACAATGAGAAGAAGCCATCTGTGAACCAGGAAGGGGCCCTCACCAGACACCAAGTCTGTCACCACCTTGATCTTGGACTTCCCGGCCTCCAGAACTGAGAAGTAAGTTCCTGTTGTTTATAAGCCACCTGGTTCATGGCACTTTGTGACAGCAGCATGAATGGTCTAAGACTCCTTCTCACTCCAGGCTCCAGGAGTCTGGGATTCTTGGTGATTTTCTAGCATGACAGGAATGACACGTGTGCACACCAGAGCCCGGCCCCGGGCCGGTCAGTGGTTCTATGGCAACTGTGAGGAGGAAGACTGGGCCTCCAGGCCAGGCCTCTGCAGGGCAAGGGGCTGCCCAGGTCCACTCCCTGGAGGCCAGTCTACCGTGAGAATAGGCCAAGGACTCTCTGAACAGAGACCTTATCTCCTAGAGACACGCCGGACACCAAGGCAAGCACGTGATGTCTGAGATTTGCTTCACATAAGCGGGTGGGGGAGGCGGTCAGGGCTACAGACTGGCCCTGAGCTCTTAACTACGTAATCCTTCTTCTCTCTACTTTTGCATGTATTTGAGCTTTTCCATAATTAAAAAGCAAGAAAAGGGAAAAAATTCAACTGGACCTATGAGGGCAGCTGCGGATGGAGACAACCCAGGGCTCCTCTCTTCCCGGGCCCAGTGACCTCCCGGCCCCAGGACAGGGGCCACCGGCATCACAGGGCAGCGCTTTCCTGCCCTCTGCCCCACGGTGGCAGTGCTCACA